GGTGGCCGCAGGCAAGGGACCGACAGTTCCGGGTCCCAGGCCCAGCCGCGCGACCACCCGGCATGATGCACCGGGCTTCGGCCGGCGGGATGCCGGCCGGCTGCTGGCTAGGGCGACTGCCGCGCGCCCCGGCAGGGTGGCGGCCGGCCAAACACCCTCGGAGAGGGCGCTCCGCGCCGTCCGGCCGCAGACACACTTGGCCCGCTCATTTGCAGCGACCGGCCGCGGAGGCGCGCATCCCCCCCGGCCCCGGGGCCGCTGGTCTTTCGCCCGGGCGTCAACCTGCCCGCCGTCGGCCGCCAAGCAACATGCGATGCAGCACGCCGCCTGGCCCTGAGCCACGCCCCTGTGAGGGGCTCTTCCGCCGGCACAGCCACGGCCGCATGCCCGGCTGCCATCGCGGCTTTTACCAGTCGCCGGGGGTGCCCTTGCGCGAACATGCCGGAGAACAGCCTCCAGCCTGGGGCCAGACGGCTGGGAGAGGCGGGGCGCTGCCTGCCGGAGGTGGGCCGCGCTAGCACCGGGGCAGCCCCGGTGCCAGCCTCGGGGCATTTGCCACGGCCCCGAGCCACCTCCTACACCCTGGTCGGCGGCCACGGCGGGGTCTGCCTGCACCACTGACACACGCTCGCGCGCAGGTGTCCTGGCGACGCGAAGGCCGACCAGCCGGCCTGTGTCGCTCGGCCCCACTCGGGGGGGGGGGGGGGGGGACAGGCCGCGCGTGGGAATCCCGAGACCTGCGCCGCGGCGAAGGTCGGCCCCGCAGGCTTGCGGCCATCACACCGTCCGCAAGTGCCCCGTTCACGGGGGGGCCCGCATCGGCACACTGCCCTCTTCGGGCGCACCAGACAGCGCTTCGTCGCCGAGACATGCCGGCCCCCCGGCGCCAGACAACAATCCGGCGGGCCTGCTTGCGGTGGGTGGATGGCACTTTGCATGGCAGCAAAAGAGCCACACGGACCGGTGCGTGTGAGAGTGGCCCCGTCGCTCGGAAGCCGCCCGGCGGTCGAGGCCCAGTCGATGGGGCAGAGGTCGGCCGGCCGCACCATCCACCGGCTCGCCGGGGCTCCGGGCCAGGCTGAGGCTGCTTTTGGCTTTGGGCGTGCTTTCTCTTTGCGAGCACCGTGTCCCTGGCCACGCGGAATGCACCGGTGCTGCTTGCTGCGCCCGGCTCGGGTGTCGCACATGCCGCAATGACACCGGCAGCCATGAGCCCATCGGCTGCGTGCGCCCGCACACACGCACACACACACACACACACACACACACACACACATACACACACACACATATACATATATGCTCACACACATATACATATACATATATGCTCACACACACACACATGCTCACCGCGGGAGCAAGGCGGGCAGATGCGCCTCGGCTTCGGCGGCCACATGTAAAGCCAGATGTAAAAGCGCCAGGGTGTTCACCGGGCAGGCCGGCCCCGGATCAACAGGGGGGCACAAGCGAAAAAGGGCATCCCGAGCAGAAGCCGCAAGGGGCCAGGCAGGCAAGACCACCGGCCGGGCTCAGGGAAGGCGGGGGCCCTGTGGCGCACCAGGCGCCGTGGCCCTTCCGCATGGGCACCTTGCGGCTTGCCGCGCATGTGCGCTGGCGCCTGTACGGCCGCACAGTCGTCGGCATGAGCCCGACTCCGGCCCTGCATGGTCTTCGCTCAGAGCTCGGCGGGGGGCGGAGGAAGAAAGGACCCACCCTCGGGCCGTCATGGTCGGCCACGGCCGCCACACGGGGCACCAGCCCGAGGGCGCTGCTGTCTTGTCATCCTGAAGACCCAGTCCAGCAACAGGGACGCGGGGGCCTGGCGCCGGCGTGCCCCCCCCCCCCCCTCCCGGAGGGAGTGTCCCAGGGTGCCGGCCAGTCCCCGGGCCCATGCCAAGCCAGGGTTCCCTGCCCATGTCAAGCCGGCTGTGGGCGGCCACAGGCCAGCCCACGGAGTCCGTGCTTTCCGGCGTGGGAGCCACTCTCTTGGCCGAGTGGCCCCCGGCGGGGATCTCGCGCGGCCAGGCATGTGTGTCTGTCCTGCTTCGCCCCGACGGTACACACAGGGCGGACGGTCGACAAAAGGGACCGATGGACCCTCCGGTCGCCGGGGGGCGGGGAGGTCCGGAACCGCTGGCCGAAGGGAATGGCCCATCCTTGCTCCGTGCCGACAGCGGGAATACACCCCGTCAGCCGGAGGGTCTTCGCATAGACCCAGGCACACACACGTGCGCGTGCGTCTCCGGCAGGGGGGTAAGGATCTATATACATGTATTACAGCGCGAGGCGGGCTGCACGAGGGAAAACTTGGTGCCGCGGAGCTCCAGCACATCGCATGGGGGGGGGATGGGGGAGGGGAAAAGGAGAGGGAAGTCCAAAACCGCACAGGGGGCGAGGGGGTGGGGACAAAAAGGGGACAATGGCAGGGGCGGGCGAGGCGGG